AATTTATTGAAAGTTTTCCTTAAAATCATGGGCAACCGTATTTATAGTCACGCAGAAATTAAAAGTATCCAAAAAATAGCGATTTCATTATTTGAACTAATACAGGCAATTTGTATTCAGCTAATTTTTTTCACCCCGAATAATAATCAGCTTCTCAGCTTGTTGTAACTTCGAAAAAACCACCGATTGTAGACCAAAATCCGAAACGTTATTCTTGCTAATTAAAGTCTTACCGATCACTCACCAGATCATCGTAGGTTATCCGCTTTTTAATCGTTTTGCAACAACACCACCTTTACTACAGACAGTCGTAGTTCATGCGTTTGGATCTAGTACATTAGGCATTAACAACCACTGGTAAGACTTTTCCTTTAGGGGTTCCCGGTTACCTCCAGATTTTTTTGTTTCCAAAAGTACATACAAACACCACATTTATAATTCAAATGTGGCTCATCTCTGTTTGATTTAGATTCTCTCACAATATATCTGATTTTTCAGCTGACAACAAACACCTTGTCGAAAAGCTTTAAACCTTTTTCAACTTCAAACCAGATTCTAAATTCTTCAGTTTAAATATGACCATAGAAAGCCTTGCTAGTATCAACTCTGATCGTGCTCTCTTTACCAGATTTCTACATGTTAAGTTAGCAACTGAGCCGGCAACAATAACGGCAACCAACGAATGAACTGGAAACAATGCCTTCTGCCACCCAAACATGTTTATGCGCATAATTTCCAAAACTTCCACACAGTACTAATTCATTAATAGCTGAAAAAACAACTAAAACCCTGAAACCATGCATGAATGCAACGTATGAAACAATAACAATGAAACGAATGCACTGACCTGGTGGTAAAAACTTTCGAAACCAAAGAAATAACTAATTTCAACAGCAACGGAAACAAAACTGAGGTGAGACGCAACATCTGTGAACAATGCGATTCAAGATAAGTTGTGAATAACTGTAGGATAAACGTAAAAACTAATGTGTAAACGAACGGCTACGGAACTGCAATCCAACATGGACGAAAATGACCTTTGAGCGTCTCACTCCACCAATGACCTTGTACGTGACAGACAATTTCAGCCCATATATGCTCGCAACAACGAGCAAAACAACTCCCACGAAGTATGGAAGCGAGGCGCACAGCTTGTCAATACGCCGCAAGCATCGAGCTGCCGGGTCAATACCATCTACTGAGGGCGAAAATATGCTGACAACCAGTAGTAGCATCGCCTCTACAAACGCAGCACCTAGTCCTGACATGAACCTCTTCACTTCACCTTATGTACGTGTCACCAAACTTCAGATACCAAGTCCAGCTCCAACACTTACTTCAGAAATAGAACGACTAAAGCTGTCTGTAGAGGAACTGAAGACCGAGATGCGGGACATAAGGTGTAGTAAAGTTATGAATGCAGGTTTTTCAGAAAATTTGGCCAACTTATCTGAACTATCAACACAGATTAGTGATATAAAATCACAGCTCTGTGAACTTGAACCTCTGAACATCTTGACTAGGACCAAAAACCCTGGCGAACTTGACACAGAATCAGTAACTAAGGTAGACACCTTGATAAACTTCATCACCACAGAGGTTATCAAAAGACTTGTTACTAAACTAAGTGTGATTGTCTATAATATACCAGATAATGAGGGGTTGAAAAAGGTTCAAAGCATCTTACTTAGGGCAGCGAAAATGCCTATTTCCCAAACAAAATGTCACAGACTGAAGAAAAGTCAGCACGACCACTGCTGTCCTATACGCCTCCAGTTTGAAACTCTGACAGAGGCTAAAAAATTCACAAGCACACAACGTATCTTATTACAGGACACAAGCTACAAACAAATAAAAGTTGTAGCAGATAAGACAGTGATTGAAAGGCGTGCTTACAATCACCTCAATAAACCTAGCGGCAAGACACCGCAATAGATAAACACACTTCCAACACGGTAGAACTCATAGCCTTCCCCCTCTCAAATCTCACGAAAATAGCTCCACAGAAAACGAAAGACTTGTGAGCTATAGTCTTACTCCTAAATTAACCTCTCCTTCCTCTACCGTGGATCCAGATATATCTATGAACAGCCATAAGATGGAAATCAATCCCTCTTGTAGGCTGACAACATCCTCTCCTAGCCAAAACGTGACAACGCAAATGGAATTCGGTAACAAAACATGCCGAAATACGCCACTTGTTGCGAAGAATCCCCAACATATTCAAACTCCCAAGAATAACTTACGCTTTACGGCAAATAATATTCAAAACTATGCTAGCAACCAAACTAAAATAAGGACATAGAGTCCAAGGACAATATCGACGCAACCTACTCGCATACTGTGCCAAGTCACACTGGTAGCTGGTGTAGTGACGCTATCACGCAAAGTAGTATAAGTGACAACACTCGGACCTCAGACACCCAGGGTCTACAAAGTATGACACACAAACAAACTTTGGTAGATTATACGGAACAAGTCTTCTGGGAATCAAACCACAGTGCAGCTATGCATATAACGAAACCCATGTAAGGCCTCGTAGAATGTCCCCACACAATAGGCAGATTAGTAAGTCATGGGCTTCACAAGGTACCAATGATTTTTTATCCAAAACATCCCTGTCAGCGCTAACCAAACAGTTGGTGGGGATGTTAACCCTCCTGAACGCGTACCACTAATGTCGGCTCCGTGTCGGGAAGAAAACAGATATAGGCCAGTGCACACGGAATTATTAAACACATCCAATGCTTGTACAAGCCCTGGCCAAATAAGAACTCCTACCCAAGTCTCCAACCTACCTAAGCCTAGAACTACGTCATCGTATAGTGAATCCAATAAAATAACTCATTATTCACTAAAAGAAATAGATACTAAATCGATAGACATAGGCGAACATTGGACCCAAACTAGTTGCAACACAGGGTTGTTATACCACGCAGAAACAGTGCAAGTCGATTCACACTTGAGCCTGACTGACGAGCTTAAACACTTCAACTCTCAACTCTACTGAATACTTATTATCTATCCTTAAAAAACTACCGATTCTCAGGACACACACACTGGTATACAAACCCCCAGTAATTATTATTACTGAATCCTGGTGTCACTCCAATATACCAGACGAAGAGATAAGCATCGATGGGTGCACACACTTTCGTTGTGACAGGAAGAGTGGTAAGGGAGGAGGCCGCATAATGTACTTCCTGAACACACTTGCTGTATTACAGCTAGAAAATAGGGAACTGAATGACATGCATGACACCCTATGGGTCAACATACACTTCAAAAGTGCTACACTACTAATAGGATGTATCTACAGTGCACCTGGCACCTTTAGTGATTACGAGACACAACTTATAAATGTACTGGAGCAAGTATCCACTCTTCCATACAAGCATAAGATCATATGTGGAAACTTTAACCTACCCGAAATCAACTGGGATTTATTAACAGGCCCAACTAAATATGACAAGCTCTCAGGTACACTGGACATCTTCGGCTGGGAACAAACTGTCACTATCCCTACAAGAGGTGACAATGTACTAAACTTAATATTCTGTCACGATATAAGCCCCCTCTCAATCTTAGTGGGTTCTAAGTTTTCAGGTGGTGACCACAAAACAGTGATGTGTGCTCTGTCACTTCCACTGAGTAGCAATACAGCTCATACCTCCACTTCACAAGTAATATATAGGAACTATAGTAAGGCAAACTGGGCCTTAGTAGAATTAGTGCTAAGATCCTCCGAATGAGGCGAATACTTCACTACTGATGACCTCTCGAGAGCTCTGAGCATTTTCTACCATAACTCAAACACATGCTTAGATGCTGTCATTCCACTCCAAACACTTAAGCTTTCCCCACATAGAAAATCATTCATAAAACCAAAGGATCGTACGAAAGTGAAGAGACTCTCAACAAGTTACTTCAAACACCACGACTTTGGCACACTAGGTTTCATGCATAACACCCTTAGCTCCATCTCACAAGCTCGAGATTTCCGTTTGAGAAACGAATAATGCATCGCAGTAGCCAGTCCTGCTAGAGTGTATGCAATCACAGAAGTCTTAAAGAAGCGAATGAACCGCAAAAATCACAGCATTTCTCTCCTCATAGATAAAGGTAGGCTATGCACTAATTCTGCAGACATGTGTGAATTATTCAACAAAACTTTTGCAGGTAACTACCTTAAGCCCTCAGTCCAGTTACTCGATATACACCCTGCTACTAATATGGCACAAACTCCATCTCTACCCACACCAAAACAAATTAGCACTGAATTCACCTATGCTAACATTAACCAAACTATTAGAACCCTTAAAAGCTCAAAAGGTTCTGGTACTGACGGTATATCATCCTATTTTTATAAACATGGTGGCCCTGACAAGTTTTACAGGTTATAGGCACTGTTGAATAGAAGCTTGGGAATAAAATAGATCCGTGTTACTCCACACTACTGTTTGTCCGTACTCTTTTGAAATTTTAGAATCTTGTTAGTCGGACGGCTGTATATAGGTCAAAGATAACTGCTAACTTGTAACTTCTTTTCAACAACAACTCATCTAGAATGCTTATTAACTTTCAAGAGTTGGTTTGTAGGGATTTCATTTTTCTCACTGTTAGGCGTATGCAAATGCAGATAGGTGGTAGATGTTAGGTAACATTTCATTTTTTTGAATTACAATTAAATGAATTTCATAAACTTTATACACAAATTACTTTTTAAAAAATTTGAAAAGAGAAAGAAGGAACATTAGTGCAGAATAACACAGACTCATTTTATTTCAAGGGTTCTTCTCAGCTGCACGTACAACCTGTAAGACTTAATAAAAACGCGTTAAAATACAATTTTCACATACTTTTGTTCAATATAGAAAAAAATACCCATTTAGACATTTAGAAGGCAAAACGATTGAGCAAAGGTATATTTACTTTTCAATTAGATTCTCATCCCTGACTCTACTCCAATATTGTTGGTATTAGATGGTTGGAGGCAATCAGGAGGAAGCTTTGCCGGGACCCAGGTTTCGTGCATCATCAGTATGCATCTGCAACCTCGAAGGAACTCATGTCCCTCTTGCGTTTCGAACCCGCGTCACTCAGTGCCTCAGTCACAGACCTTACCACTGAGCTATTCAGGCTCACAATTCACCTCCTGTAGGAGACTGTACTGAATATTTTTGATTGAACACACTACTTACTGATCAGTGTCCAATCAACAATATCTACTCTAATATACATAGCATATAATACAATACAAAAAATCTTTACCAATCTAGTCGCACTGATATCTTTGTTGACAATATTTAGTCAGCATCAACACGTTAAGGGGTAATAATTAACCCAGAAAACTAATACACACAATTAAGGGATAGAAATGATTACAACCAGTGGCTTGCATAATGCGTAATTTCGGAGAAAATGTAGAGTTATTAAGAAATAAACAAGTGTTTAGTCTGATTACATAATAGGTAGTTTTGTGAACAATGGCTTTTTCGAAGCTGTTGCCGTACTGGCTTGCTTTGGTGCTAAATTTAAACTTGAAAATCAACTCAAATCCGTAGCAAACTAACTGTAAAATGCTTATTTCGAGTACACTGGGCAATTAATATACATATGAAAGCGATAAACAGGTATACACAGTAAGAAAAATTTATTATATTTACATTATACGATAAGTGATGTGGGAATTTCTTTTCTCAATGAAGAACACGTATGTAGCCAGTTGTCTGATTATGATTAACAATACAGGCGTATGTCTCTACCTTTTCTTCAGGAATTAATTATTGACCTCTAGTGGTAAAAACAGCGAGGATATTTTCTATATTTCAAAAGAAAAGGTTACCTACGAAGTAGATATTCTTCAAAGAAGTAAATAATATCTTTTGTTTCATCAATAGCTTCAAGTGTTTTCACATCGGAATCATAATTCTCCAAACTCTTTGCTTGAGATTTCTTATCATCCTCTGAAAAAAATAAGACGGCATTAGTTTTCGGTGAATTTCATTAGAAATGTCAAAAAATACTCTGTAGAGACGCGGAAGTTGTAATAACGTCGAAAATCCGTAGCCTAAGTAGATGTTTTTTATATGAGCTTAATAGTTTCCAATATGAAGCTAAACTGTATGAAGAGACTCAGTATAACATACATCAAGTTATCGTACAAAAGACCGACAAATACAGAAAAATCACTCCTATACCACTAGGTCACACACAAAGAAAAAAACACAACAGTTATGGCGAAAGATGCCAACTTATTCAAGGACGGTAATGTGTAATGGCAACACATCCTACTCAAACATTGGACAGTTGAATCAAAAGTGCCTTCATATCGTCAACCTCCGAGAGATTCTTACCAGCGTGTCAAGCGCTTGTCATATAATATAAGCTAACTGATGGCTAGTGAATGGATTTTCTGAAGCTGCAATGGGAAGTCGTGACCAGTAGGATCTACAACTCTATTGAGTGTAACCTTTCTGAATTTATAATCTGCAATGCTGAGTGTGAATCAATGCTTAGTAGGACTGTTAGCCGTTAAATTAATCATCTGCAATATGTACAAGGTGGTAGCGCTCAATATTTGCGAATAACATTGCATGCCAATACCATTTTGAATGGGCACTCGCCATTGGTCACATGTTAACACCTACTAAATCAATCTTTCACTTGAGTTTCGGTTAAAACAAGAGATTGCAAACTACTTTTTTCGAATACGCTACATTCACATTTATATCAGTCAGTTAACAAAAATCCTACCTCGAACTTTATTGTAATTAATTCGATTTCTTTTAAGAGTCATCAACATATCATCCAGGAACTCGGATTCTTGTTGGGCTGAAGCATATTCATGAACCAGATTTCGAATAGATTTCAGTAGTATATTTGGGCTCTACAACAAAAACAGGAAATCGGTGAATAATAATTAGTAAAATAAGCATTGTAACACTTTCAGACACTTATGATTCTGGAATATACGAAGCTCATAAAAGAGCTCCACTCTTTAGCTCTGATCACTGTATTGTACGAGTTTTACCCTGAATTTACGGAAAGTTACACAATAAAGCCTTCTCAAAATTGTCCAAGAAAGTTTTTCACAGATGTTACTCAAATGAGAACGTACATCATCTTAGAAACATACTCAGTGAGACAAGATGTGATCTGTTTAATGATGATTCACTTGATGACACATCTTATCTGGAATTCTGTTTTGAAATCTGCTGTCCAAAAGAAACGCTATTCGTCAAATATGACCGTTCCTCCTCCCCTCAACTTAAAAAGCTCCGTGGAGAAAAGGAAAAACTATATAAAATGAAAGATAAAAATGTTGTAAAAAGAACTAACTTCTTAATCAAGTCTGAAATGCAAGGGTTGAATGTGATATATAACCAGAAATTCATATCCTCCAAAAATGCTTCTAATATGTGGAAACTATTCAAGGAAATCACTGGTGGTAAACAGATAAATAGTATTCCGTATTCTTTTGATGTATGTACTCTTAATAAATCTTTTATTTATTCTCCCTCAAATTCCATGCTTCCCAGTATCACTAGTGTTAATAATAGCCCCTTTCCAGGTTTTAACACAAATGATGTTCAAAAGTGCCTCAAGTCTCTGAACCCTTCCCAGAGCTTAGGTCCAGATCATGTACCTAGTATTATTTTCAAAAAGTGTTCTGATATTCTATGTTACCCTCTCACTGATCTGTTTAACAAATCTTTTTCCAGTAATATTGTGCCTGCTGTTTGGAAAGACATTAAAGTTGTACCCATACCTAAATCGTCTACTGGAGCACATGTCAAATTTAGACCTATTGCTATTACCTCTCCTTTTTTGAAAACTATGGAAAAATTACTTTTACTTAGTCTTGTACCTTCACTTAAATCCTTTAATGAACCTAAACGATTTGCCTATAAGCACAGTAGAAGCGCTTCAGATGCAGCTACCGTCTTATTTTATAACATTGCTTCCAGTCTAGACAAGGGGGCTGAATTTGTTCGTTGTGCCTTCCTAAACTATACACCTGCTTTTGACTCAGTACCTAGGGACATCCTATCAAATAAACATGCTTCAAATCAAACAGATTGCTGGGCTGTTAACTGGTTGCATTCCTATTTTTCAGAAAGAAAGCAGTACACCGTGTATAAAGGGAAGTCTTCCACTTCATTACCCACTGAAGCTGGTGTCCCTTAAGGCGCTATCCTTTCTCTTTCTCTTTTTTCTATCTTTTTACATGACTTGTCTCACTCTGATGAAATAAACTTTGTGAAGTACGCTGATGATTTAACAGTTTCAGCTAGATTGTATCAAAATAAATAGCTTTCTGTAGGGAGTCAGTGAATCGTCTGAGTCTAACGGTCTTAAACTGAATCCTTCTAAATGTCAAACTGTTAATTTCAGCTTAAGATGTAAACGACGGTTAAAAAGAAGCCGTCGATTTTCATGACAGTTGTAAGATTGATGACAATGATATAGGAATTAAATCAGAAATTAAGTATCTTGGACTTATTCTCTCTTCTGATCTCTCCTGGTCTTTCCATGTCTTAGCGATCTCCAGTAAAATAGCAACCATAGAGCTAGTTGAGAATATTGACAATAAGTGAAGATGTACCTTCACTCTGCTTACAGAGTTCTGTGTCGAGGTTTTGGACGCTGACATACTTGTCACGGATACCTCTCCCTAACAGATAACTTCAGGAAACATTCCTCTCTAAGGAACTAGAAATAGCCTAAATATCAAAAGTATAATGAATATTGGTCTGTAATACTTCTTGTGTCCTAGCAACTCACAATTAGTCAACAGAAGATTGGTGCGTCAAAGGCTTCTGGGAAAATCAAAGTGATTTTCACAAGCTGCTTTAACATGTATGTTTCATGAAGTTTACAAAGCATGATGCCAACCAGCATGATACTTTAACTCAATAACTCATCATCATCATCAGTGTCACTGTCCTTAAACATTTTGAGAAAAACACTGAATATTCTCACCGCAACAGTAAATGCCTTTTCTATTTCCTACACCTTCGTCACCCAGAACTGATTGGAAAACTTCCCGGAGTCTTTTCGCTACACATAGTGTCTGGAGCCGGTGAAAACCAGTCGCCATGTACGGAGCCACTCAGATAGGAAAACGATGACCCTTCAATTTCGAAAACCCCAACAAGTCGACGAGGATTTGTTAGAAAATCCACTGACGACGCTATGGCGGGATTGTGTAATCCCATTATGTTGGTTAGGTATGCTAAGGTGAATAACAACCTATCTTTCTTGTATGGGTGTCTCAGTCTCAGCGTTATACAAAATACATGCATACATTTAAACGCAACAATTCACACACTGAACGCAACTCACCGTGACATCATGTTCACTCAAAGCAAACAAACGACAACAACCTGTGTATAAACTATTGGCACACAATCTCTCGGCGACGGTTTTGTTGCTGTAGATAAAAGTAGAAGTTAACAGTTCATCAAAAGTATTAGAAAAACAAAGTAACAATTAGTGGAATATTATATAGGGAACCCTACATAAATACGTATATCCCTTGACACATAGTTAAGAGAGTTATTGATTGATTGGCTTCAACGTAGAACTTAGCATAGAATTGCATCACTTCAAGTTGCCACACTTCACGTGTCACACAAATGAAGAAAACAGAGATCCAGAGTAAAGATAATAAGGAAAAATGTGACGGACAAAGAATAGTAACATGGAAAAAAGACAAGGGTCTAATAGATATAGGAGACCACAAAGAGGGAATGCATCTGCGAAACTGACAACGATTTTTAGCCATATCACCAACTGTCTCCAGATATTAGTTCTTCAAATCCCCAAAACCACATATTCATAGAGTCTACATGTCGCCACGTGGGTGGCTCAAATTAACTGCCAAGGAATCCATGGAGTGTCTTCAGGTTTTGGTTCGACAACTACTAGCTCTTTGCCAACTCAACTGTATGTCAGCTGATATCACCTGTCGAGGACAGCAATGGTTAGCAATGCGTAACACATGTCCTAGGCATTTCAATCGATAAAGCTTCACAACCTCATCTGTCTGTTTTCAACATAGAACTTTGCACCGATGTGCAGCAGTTGAAGTCACCACACTCTATGTGGCACACAATGCAAGGGAAGAAAGTAGAAGAAAGGCATAATAGAGACAGTAAACAGAGGTGTGAGACAAAGGAATAGTAATAACGAAGAACGATATAGTTTTATTGCAAATTATAATTCACAAGGAGTGGATGCATCTGCGACAGCCATTGAGAACGATTTTGAGCCATATCACCGATTGTCCCAAGCCATTGGTGTTTACCGTCCCGAGTACCAAAACCAGCCAGGAAGTCTACACCTCCCTCCCTACTTGGCTGGCTTAAACTAACTTTTGTGGATTTCATTGACTGATGAGGCCATGTTTTATTTTGACCACCGCTAGCTCTTAACCAGTCTGACCCTATGGTCATAAAAAAGTCGCCAAAAAATATCTTTGCTGGGCTTTTTATTCTTTTCTCTTTAGTATCCTCATGGATATTTTCCACCATTGAAAAGAAGTTGGAATAAAAACTTAACGTCAAGTAATTTGAGTGAATAGTGACTAACAGTGGCATTCAGGATGAGTACTTCGTCCCATTTGAGACTCGCCATCTGGACGTATCTGCACAATCCTCAGTGAGTGTTGGTTTTCCTGGTGGGACTCGAACCCAGAAGTTAAACACGTCAGTCCAGTCAATCAACAGGAAGGTCAGAATTGACTTAAACACAAAGTTCAACGTCTAAAATTCGCGACAGTTTAGTGAAAATAAATTATGAAACAGCTGCAAGCGTCTCTTATCAGTATTTTTGATAGGAATATAGAAAATAGAAACACCTACCCAGAACATTTTCCATTGTTGGTGATTTTCTGAAGTATCCTTTTGAATAAATCATCAGATGGACATTTATTGACTGTTTCATTCATCTGATTCGATAATTCCTGCTTCGCATGCTTCACCTGTTGTAGATATCGAAATAAAAAGCAACGTAATATAATTCAGAAAGAATACAAACACCATTACAAAAAATCCGAATATGAAAATATAGTGATCAATCATCAGATGTTTGGGGGTAATCGAGAGCAAGCCCATCCTGACCTAAGTTTCGTGCTTGTTGGCACACTCACAAGTCAGCAACGCGTATTTGCAATCTTGAAGGAACTTATGTCTCTTCTGAGATTCGAACCCACGTCACCACTCGGTTCCGTAGGACTATATTGGATACTTTGCCTGGACACTAGTTACTATCTATGAACACAAAATCAAAATGTTTCCTTTGGTCAAAACTAATCAAGGGAACTAGGTGTATGAAAAAGATGAATTAAGTAGTATCTTAAGGTTCTACACTGTAATGCATCTGGGAACATTTTTCTATAGTTTTGTCTTCTTATATCGGTTTTGTCAACAAGTATACAAAGTTTCCACTTCTGCATATATGTGTTACGCATGCATTTGGATCATTACCCACTTGTAAGGAATCGACTGCATGGTCAGCGAAGACCTATCAACAACAAAAACGGGGATATCAGCTATTAATCTAGCGATAACAACAATTTTATGCTGCATAGATTTGTAAAATTTACAAAAAGGGCCGAGGAGATTCTCCTGAAATACCTATTTCAACCACCTCACTACTTCGACTGCGGCCTGTGCTACTGATAGGATTTGTAAGCAGTATAAATCTACAGACATAAATATGTATGTCATCGTCAAGAATATCGAACAGCGGAGATGATGAATTTAATGATGAAGAGCAGAAATGAACGACTCTTGTGAAACAATTTCAAAACAGTGAAAGGAAGACAAAGATGCGCAATACGGAAGACATGTGCAAATTGTGATTTTAATACATGGCAAATGTATTTTGTCTATATCTGCACATAGAGTTGCCTCACTTAACAATTCCCTTGTCAAATACGTTTGTGCTCTGCCGTTACATTATTGCTAAAATCATTACTACTAGGGATAGTAAAAATGGTAGTAATAATCATAATATTAAATAAAAGCGTTTGAACAAGTGTATGAATAAATAATCGCTGATATCGAAAATTGTGCGGCAGTGCTTCAATGGTAGAATCACTCACCAACCACGACGCCCCGTGCGCTTCAAGGTTCGACTCTCGGTTTGTGCACTCGTTAGCCTCGCTCAATCAGCAGTAAGCACGGTAAAGAGAGAAGGCTGTGGCGTGTGCTACTGATAAGATGTATCAGTAGTATACATAAAGGGATGTTCATCCGCAAAAAAACACCAAATAGCACGGAGATACATTTGATTTCAGAGAAAGTAAATGATACAGCGTTGTGGGGACACATGCGAAACATGAAAGGGACACAAGAAAACACAACAATATGAAGGAAGGTCAAAAGTAGTACAACACGGAAGATGATCTGTGGGTAATTGGTGATTTGAAGATAAGTGGTGTACATAATTCCAATTTCCGAATAAACATTCCTTTACCAGGTCTCTTGTCTTCTACCATTACACCACCATTGCTACTAAAACTTTAAGACATAAGCTTAAAGTCCTATGTCCCATTTGGAACACAAAAGAATAAAAATAAATAAATAAATAATTAATCGCTTATATCGAAGAAGATTAAGAACACAACTAACCTCTTCACATAATGAAGGTAAATTAGACAGCAGATTTTCAGACTCTTCATGCAACCGTAATATTGACTTTCTTTTATCCGCCTTTCATTTATTGGACATAATCAAATATAAAACAGAAAGCGTCAGAAAAAGAGGGAGAACTCTGATAACACATAAAAAGTAGATTTAAAAGGCTGCTTGCTCTGAACTGGAGACCTGTGGGAACTTCAATTTTTAAACCAAAAGCGGAAATAGTGACTCAAGGAAGAAATATGTAAGACTGTTTTTTCAGGCGATTATCAAGACGCCAACGCTAATGGTTCAAATATCTAAATCTAAGTGTAGAATTTGGGCTATGTGGTGGTAGAATGTAATTCCTAATCAGATTAATTTATTATTTCAAATAGCATACACTGGTACAGTACTTATAACTGAATAATATTTTGAGCACAGTTTATTGCGCTTATAATCATATCAATTTAGTCACACACACACGGTTTCATAATTTGCCTTGTATACATTTTCTCTCGTCATCCTCCCCATGTTGACGCTTTGTTGACACTTTCTATATCTTCAGTATAGGAGTTGCATCATTCCAACTGCAGGCGTCTGGTGTTTGATTTGATGAACAAAGATCCATCCCCATCCAGTATCGGTAAAGGCAGGGTTAGATAAATGTCTCTAAAATCGGACCAGGAGCCCCCTAACTAGTAAGGCCAGAAGATTCAAATAATAAAATCAAACTAATAAGGAAAATATTACCAATGAATAACTACCCACCAGAGTTTATTCTAAAAATCGTATGAATACTAAAAGAAGAAAATAAGGGCAGTAATGAAAAGGATGAAAATAATATGAAATCCAAAGCCTGTGTTGGTACTACTCTATAAACAAGGAACATTAGAGGCCCTGAGTAGGATCCTTAATGCGGCTGGATTTAGGGTAACATTTAGGCCAACCAACTCAATCAAAGACAAACTTTGTTGGCTTATGAACCGGATAGATCCAATTATAAGAAAAAAAATAATGCAATTTACCAAATGTCATGTAATGACTTTCAGGTCAGTTATTTAGGTCGAACAAGTAAGTATATCGGAGCCAGTTGGATTATCGGAACACAGAAATTTAGCTTGACCCAGAATGATTGACCTTGCTATGTTGAATAATCTAGAAAAAAGCTCAACTGTTGTAATGCACTCACTTGTATGTAAACATACAATAGGGTGGGGGACAGGGTTAAGATATTAAAAAGTGGCGAGAGAGGTTGATCACCGAATCAACAAACACGTGTAGTTTAAATGATGCAACGCCTATACCGGATATATGGAAAATTACAGCGAATAACAGTGCGGCGATGGCACAGTGGTAGAATGCTCACCAACCACGCCTCATGTGGGTCTGGGTTCGACTCCCGTCCGACACACTCCATTACTTCGCAGAGCTAGTAATAAGACTGATAAAGAGGGAATGTTGAGCATCAGTCTAGCAACCGCATCCAGTAAAAATAAAACACCACTGCTACCGAAACTTCAAAGCTCTAGCTTGAAGCCCTGTCCCAGTGGGAACTTAAAGGAATAAAAAGAAGTGAATAACAGGTGAAAGAGAAGAAATATAAAAAGCAAAATATGAAGCCTTGTGATGAATACACTCGTATGATTTTGAGCAATAAATTGTGCTCAAAATGCCATCCAGATACTAATACTACATCACTGTGCTCTATCAGATAAACTAGTCGAATATTTTCCCACCAGATAAGGAGTGGTTGAAGAGTGCTGTGAACTGGTCAGTATGTAGTGTGAAGTGTAGTATAGTGGTGATATGAGTATGGATCTGTTGTTGTAAAACAAATTCCTTAAGGGATTTTCGAAAGTGTATTATGGTATACAGCTTAAAATGGACTAATTTGAAGATTTTTAGATTGGACACTAGTCAGTAACACCAGTAACTATTGTGATGTGTCTAGTCCTTTGTTTGGTGCAGACTGAATTTTATCAGTCAAGCTTGAAATGTGGCCACCATTCTAGGTGGCTCGCCATCATCGTGCACTGTGAATTGTTGGTATTCTATGGTTGGAGGCAATTAGCAGGAAGCCTTGGACCTAGGTTTCGTGCTAGTTGTCATTCATCAGTCAGCAAGGCGTACCTACAACCTCAAAGGAACTCATATCCCTTCTGAGGTTCAAACCCGCGTCACCCAGTGCTGAAGTCAGAGACGTTACCAACGAGCTATTCACGCTCGCGATTGACCTCCTGCAGGACTGTATTGTATATTTTTGATGGCGAGCCACCTAGAATAGTGACCGGAATGCAAGCTTGACTGATAGAATTCAGTCTGCACCAAACAAATGACTAGACACGTTACACTAGTTACTGACTAGTATCCAATCAAAAATACCCAATATAGTCCTTCAGGAGGTCAATCACGAGCCTGAATAGATCAGTGGTAACGTCTCTGACTGCAGTACTGGGTGACGCGGGTTCGAACTCCTTTGAGGTTGCAAGTACGCCTTGCTAATGAGTGCCAACTAACACGAAACCTAGGTCTAAGGCTTCCTACCGATTGCCTCCAAACATCTAATATCAATAATTTGGACAATATACCACAACTTTCTTGTTGTTTCTCCTATTTAAATGTAACATACAGAAAAGAAATTCTTGTCCCTGTATACTTTAACAGAATGAGTATTTATTCACTGTTATTCTCTTTAATATCGTTACTTTCTCACAGATCGTGTTATAACTGAAATGAAATGAATAAATCCGTTGCTACTTTGTTATGTCTACTCCTGTTAATCACTATAACAGTAATGAACGCGACTGATGCGTTGTTAATACATCTATTTGTCTGTTGTACCTTCCGATTCACTGAGCCACGAAAATATCAAAAAACAAAGGCTGGCCTATGACTGTAAGAGATTGTATTGTACATCTATTAGGAAACAAACCACATCGTATTTATATACTTAATTTATCACAATACAGTTGGCTCACAACTGTGGGAATGGACTGTAACTTATTGGCTGGAAATGTCTATTTTGATTGGTTGGTGATCCGACAAAGACCAAGGTGAGACAAAAGACGATTAAGTTATCACAAACTAAATCACAATAGGCGTGAGAAATGATACATTCACATAGTAACTCAATGACAATATAAATCACAAGATTCGTGAGAAAGGACGATATACTATTTTATTATGCTGGGTCCCATCAGATCGTGGTTACAATCATTACGACATCTTAGCTTCCGCACTACACCAAAAAAACTTGCCCTGAGCACATTTCAAGTACCATAGTTTCTTCTTCTCTAATTCTTATTCCGTAATTTTTTTGTTACCAATTGAGATTTTGAAGTCAGAGTGATTAGTGACAATGAATTTTTGAAGTAATTTGAGCAGTTACGATTTTGTGCAAGATTCAGCTTTCATATATTTCTATACTTTTTTGTATTGAGTTTGCTTACAGTTCGACTTTTTTATTCTGTTGTTATTCATTGTCTATTCCTAATGGAATAGATGGTTTCATTAGCACATCTCCATTTTGCTCTGTTCTCCACTGTTTGAATTCAGTTGACTCTGTAATTTTGTTCTCTGTACAAATGCTGTAGAGTAATGAACACCCGTCTAGCTTTCCTGATCCTAAATGGATTTGAAATCCTTATCAATTTCGCCTCCTTGTAGTTGGAACGACTTTTCCTAAATCCCCCCCCCATTAATTGTAATAGGTGCTTGTTGGTGGTGGTTAGGTAACTTCATCACCTGTCTTCTCTATGTTTATCTGAAGTCCTCTTGTCACTGCCTCACCGGACAACTTCCTGATTTTGGCTTGTCAGTCTTCGAGATTATGCAGCATAAACCACCTGAGAAATCCAGATCTTCTAGAGTCTTTTCGCTAGTCTAACGTAAGCTCATTTTACCACTCCCCACATTCTCCCTAGTGATCCAGTCCAATAGAATCAGGAATATATCATCGGTGGTAGTAGGCAGCCGCCGCCTTGTTTTACTCCTTTCTTCATCCAAATTCCTCAGTGTGTGTGAGTCGGCGTCATCCATCCCCAAATCACCAATTTCACCGGAAAAGAAGTTGGTTCCTTCTGTACTTTGGACTTTCAGTAGCGATGGAGTTGTTAGCCCTGCGCCCACCATTACTCCTTTCCCAAGCTTCAGGATAAAGCGTTATTTATTGCTACCTTCTAGACAACAGCTTGTACAACCTCCTAAATATTACCTAAATAATAATAACACTCAGAGTGTATTTCCTTTCAATAGAAACCAAGGGGGACAATGTAACCATTTCGTCTTATTCTAAGGTTCTTCATCAAGTTTCACCTATGAGCCCAGCAAACAATGATTGACTTTCCAGACAAAAGTAGAAAGTTTGATAACCATAATTAAGTACAGCGTCAGTATATGGGTCATTGTGTCTGAATAAATACTGTATGCGAAAAAAACACAATCAGATGTTGAACACTAAACATAACACCATGATGCATATTTTAACATTCATTAAACATTTTGGCCAATTCAGCTTACCAAAAGGCTCTCGAGATCTACTGTATCCACCTTACCGTCAGAAAGGTACATTTTTTTATCTTCTATTCTGGATTTCAACTCCATAATACGACTCTTTAAATAATTGGCTCTTGAATGAGGTGTTTGCATTGTGCATTTTTGGGATATACTAGCCTGAAACAACAGAAAGATTGCTTGCGTTAGTTATATTCTAATGTCAAAACTCGGTACGGCTTCATCTACAATTTACAACATCTCCAATGGAAGCATCAAGATAAACATCTCATATAAAGGGATTGCAAAGCAATACTTAGCACCCAATGATCACATGTACTTTTCTATACGACACTTAAAACAGTGGGGGAAATTAACGGGTCAAGAGTAACTCTATTTAACTTCCATGTTAAATGGAAGGTAATGGAGTAGTTTCACTGGACAGATCAGATTACATTCAGTATGGCAGAAATCCTCAGCGACAACAGTAAATTCTTAAACCAGACTTGTGAAAACGACAGCACTGGACAAAGTGAAAAACGGTTAACAAAGGTTCTTTTGAAAGTGAAACAGGACTCGATAATTAGCTCACAAACCTATGAAATGATACAATCGTCTGCTTCAACAGCACTTCACGCTTATATGGCTTACCGAAAATCCACAAAGGGAGGTACCCCCTAAGTCCGATCCTAGACATGTCCAGATCACTCCATCATCCTATAGCACGATGGTTAGAGGAAAAATTTTGAAATTGTTAGAAAGCTAATGAAGGATACATTTGAATTTGTGGATTCAGTAAGTCAAGTCAATGTGCCTGGGTTAAAGATGGCCCCCTCGGACATAGTTTCCCTAATTACCAATTTACCCTTAACGGAAATTGTAAGCTCCCTATGAGTTTGTTGACTCAAATAATCTGAATAACAAAACACGTAGTTCAGCGAAGAGTCTCTTGTCGGCGACGAATTCATTTTCTTAGCTGTGCAATCGCAAATATACATATGGATAACCCATATGAACTGAGATCAAGATTTGGCCGAATAGTTCCAAAATAATTGGGCACTGTGAGAAGTAGACAACTGTTAAAAATGTGTTTGTAAAACATTTTTAAAACGCATGGGTAATTTTGTATGTATGTGTACATTACGTTTGTCAAACAAAAAAACAATTTGTTATGGTTATTTTAACTAAACAGGTGAAAATGAATAAGTTTTGGGTAGAGTTACGTAATACAATCAACTAAATTCCTTGCCACCTGCATCCGACGCATCTGTAGTCCTGATGCTCTAGAAACAGAATTGGATCTTTTGAGACAAATCTTCAACCAAAATGGATACCCACCAAGATTCATTGATAAAAACATCAAACCAAGAATTTGGAGAAACGAAGCCTCACTTACGCAGAAAAAGAAACTCTACTTGGATTTCAAGGGAGATTTAACATGCGATATTCTCAAGAGAAGGATGACATCACGTCTGAGAAGAACACTCTTTGCAACAACGCTAAGAATGGTGTTCTCCAGTCACCCACTAGGTCTGCAGAAGCCTTAAGGACAAGATCCCGCATCTGACCACTTCTATGTGCATATATCAGTTCATCTGCTGCTGTGGAGCTAGGTGTATCGGCCGTTCGACGCGCACCCTGTCCAAGAGGATTCAAGAACACTATCCAGCATGGTTGCGAAAAGGCAATAGTGGTGCAATAAGGAGTGCGATAATTGAACACTTGGTTAAAACTGATCATTCCATCTCAACAAACGCTTCCTTCAAAGTAATCTGCAGAGTCAATAATAACCTACCAAAGGCAATACAGTTTCGTCTTCTTTGTATCGTTGAAGCTCTGGCCATTCACATAGGAAAGCCGGAGCTGTGCATACAAAAGATAATTACTCAACCACATATATTATCATGATAACAAGTTTGTTGATTTTTGAAGATTTAATTTTGTTTGTTTGTCTGTTTCTTTAATTGCTTATAATTCTTGAAATCACCTAGAACTCTTAAGTAATTTAGTATTCTCTACTTTGTTCCTATGTGTATCCTGAGTACAACTCAATCATCAAAGTATACATATTATTACGTTACTCCCTTCTAACAACTGTTTATGACAACTCATCACCTTTGTTACTATACTAGTTTCATTAACACCCAATTTTCTTGACTGTTTGTATTACGTAACTCCACTCACAATTTTTACCTGTTTAGTTAAAATAACCAAAACCGATTGTATTTTTGTTTGACAAACGTAATGTACACATGTTTACAAAGTAACTCATATACATATATATATATCGCGATTGTACAGCTAAGAAAATGAATTCGCCACCGAAAAGAGACGCTTCGCTGAACTATGTGTTTTGTTTTCATTAATGCCTGGATGAGTATGATGCATGAATAATCTGAATGTTGGTATACCAACTAGGCATATCAAAGAAGTAATGCTGAGATGCGTACTGGACATTCAGTTTCTGTTCAATGATCAAATATACTGAGAGAAAGATGGAGTAGCAATGGATTCTCCACTTGGTTCATTGTTCGGAGACTGCATCATGGCATACTTTGAGTCAAGTATCTCCCTACCGACAATCGAACGGTTTGAAGTTTGCAAGCGGTATATGGGTGTTATTTTTATCATCACTGAAGAAGGTGTGGAAGAAGGCAAAGTACCCGAGGATTGGGAGAAAGGATACTTATTCAAACTACCAAAGAAAGGAGACTTAAGTCAATGCAAGAACTGGCGCGGAATTATGCTCCTGTCCATCCCAAGAAAAATACTAAGCCGCATCATCCTGGAAAGGATCAAACAAGCCCTGGATGAAAAACTTCGACCGGAACAAGCTGGATTCAGGAGAAACAAGTCATGTATTGATCAAATCGCCACACTACGGATCATCATTGAACAAAGCTTGGAATGGCAGTCACCTCTCTATCTCAACTTCATCGACTTTGTAAAGGCCTTCGATAGTGCAGCGTCGATCGAGAGGTGATTTGGCAACTACTTCGCTACTACGGGGTGCCGCCAACAATTATACATCTCATCCAACAGTTGTATGACAACGCTGCATGCCAAGTAATCCACAACGGGAAGCTCACGGAATCCTTCGAAGTGAAGACAGGAGTAAGACAGGGTTGCCTACTATCGCCAATGATTTTCCTGATTGCAGTAGATTGGATAATGCGACAGACAGCGGGCAATGAGGAAACAGGCATAAAATGGACTCACACAAAGAACTTGGAGGATCTGGACTTCGCCGATGATATATGTCTGATTTCCCACATACCGGAAGATATGCCAAGCAACAAGTTGGCAGAAGATGCATCAAAGATAGGACTCCAGGTGAACATAGAGAAAACGGAGGTGATGAAGATTCCTGGCCAACACCAACAGCCACAGCAACAACAACAGACAGTAATCAGCATAAATGGAAGGAACCTGAAAGAAACTACCTCCTTTACCTACTTGGGAAGCATTGTTTCAACTACAGGCGGAACTGACGAGGATATCAAAGCAAGGATCGGGAAAGCAAGGCAAGCTTTCACTACTCTCAAGTCTGTGTGGAGGTCAACAGCACTCAGCGTCAAAAATAAGATCCGGATTTTCAACTCCAATGTGAAGTCAGTGCTACTATACGGATCAGAGACTTGGCGTGTCACAAAGAGCACCTCAAACAAGCTACAGACCTTCATTAACAGATGTCTTCGCTCAATACTCAAGATCAGATGGCCGGAAAGGATCAGAAACAAAGATCTCTGGGAGCGAACCAACCAGGAACCGATTGTGAAACAAATATGCAGGAAGAAATGGAGATGGATTGGTCACACTCTGAGGAAACCAGCAAGTGACATCACTAGACAAGCCCTCGAGTGGAACCCGAAAGGGAAGCGACGAGTTGGTCGTCCAAGGGTGACTTGGAGGAGGTCGTGTGAAGAGGAGATGAAAACGTGTGGGCAGACTTGGAGCCAGGTGAAAACTCTAGCAGAGAACCGAACGCAATGGAGACGCACGGCTGAAGCCCTATGTTCCTCTAGGAACTAAAGGAAATAATAATAATAATAATGAAAACGCTGAGGTAAACAAAATCTCGTAAATCTTCAACAGCGCTCATCCACCTAGTGGGATTCAAAAGTGAAGCGAAATCAGAATATACATTATCATTTCAAAATGTATAGCTTACAAGACGATCAGATGGAAGCTTACAAAGATCAATCTACCACTAGCCAAATTGGAATGGACAGCTGACGAGCAATCACAGTTTTTTTCCAATGAGCAGAAAAAAGAAATCTCTTCGCCTCTCTTTAGACGAGAATCTACTGTATATCCACTGAAGACGCAATGAATAAAGAATTGGAATCCTTCAGAAAACTCTAATCAAATATGGATATTCAACCTCCTTCATCAATAAACAACTAGAGAAAAACATCGATACTCCTTGAAACCTGGATGTGCCGAAGAAACAACGAATTACAAATATGAAATTCAAGGGAGATAAAATTAGAGTGAGAGAGTGTGGTGGGTGCTACTTATAATCCGATATAAGTAGTATATCAGAAACGAATTCAGAAAAGTAACAATATGTTTTGCACACTGGAAAGAGCAATCAAAGAAGAGAACCATGAGAAGAATGTTGCCATATGATGCAGAATCCAAGAAGCTATCGAATGTGACGACATTCGACCAATTCGTCAAGGATATGGTAAATGATGTGCAAATGGCAGTTTGAAAATATGGTATACCAAATTGAGGGCTGTTCGAAAAACTTTGTCCTTTTGCCTCTCGACAACCATTTTCAAACTCTTATTCACCACTCGACTAATTAGTTATCGACCCTGCCTTCTCTGGCTCCATACTGAAGATCAAATAGCCAGTCGGCCAGAAAGAATTAGCAACAGGAAACTCTGGCTGACAGTGAACCAACCGAATGCCGATTGCTCAACAAAGATGTAGGAGAAAATGGAGATGAACTGGTCATTCGTTGAGGAAGCGATCGAATGACATCACACGCAATGCAGGCCAGTGGTCGAGTATAATCTGAATGGAAAGTGGCGAGTGGGTGTCACTTAGGGAGTGACATGGAGGAGATCGTGTGAAGAGGAGATAAGAGACTATGGGCGATCGTAGACCCAGCTGAAGAGGAAAGCACCATATAGAACAAAGTGGAAGTGTTTTGTTGGAGCCCCATGTTCCACTCAGAACCCAAGGGAATAACAATAAAATCTGTCCTTATATAACAATGACCAAAAGCTGTCCAACAAACACATCAGCAAGTTCCTATTTTTTCAGGTATTTCTTGAAGTAAGTGTTATTTCATTTATGAAAACAAAACACGTAGATCAGCGAAGAGTCTCTTTTCGGCGAATTCATCTTCTTAGCTGTACAATCGCAAATATATATGCATTGTTTTGTATGTATGTGTACATTAAGTTTGTCAAACAAAGTTACATTGGTTAAGGTGACAAACTTAATGTACACATACATACAAAACAATGCATGTATATTTGCGATTGTACAGCTAAGAAGATGAATTCGCCGAAAAGAGACTCTTCGCTGATCTACGTGTTTTGTTTTCATTAATGCCTGGATGGGATTATTTCATTCAAACGATTATTCATTGGTATCGACTAACTTGGAGTAATTTGATACATGTGTACTGAAGTAATCAGAAATTTCAGTAGTTTACTCTTAGGATTTAATTATGGGAAAAAATATGTCACACAAGATTATTTTGTGGTGAGAGATGGTTGCTAGCCAAATTGGTTGACAGTAATTGAGGTCAAGGTCAAGATGGACAGGCGGATACAGAACTGACACAGCCACAAGAGATGCAAGGTTAACTTTGTGTGAGAAACAACCAATCAACAGACTGTATTTTCTACTAACAATAATGTACATCAAAATCTATAAATACGTGTTGATTTTCCATAATAAACGTTCTGTTACCTGGCCCTTGTCTTCTGTCGTTACAATGTAACATATACAGACACTTCACTACGGTTTTAAAAGCATATCACTACTTTTGTGTTACCTCTCAATCAAAGAAAAGATGTGGGAAATAGAGAACAGTATTCACTAATTTCATTATGACTTCAACTAGACATCATTTCGGGATGACGAATTGCATAACTATCTGAACATCACCAACTTTACTTAACAATTTTTGTGTAAGCTTTTGATAATGGGCAAAGTTAAACCTAATTAAAGCTAGCTGTCTTTGATAATGGGTGTCTGCGTTCTATCTCCCGTGTGTATGAAGTGGTATAATAGAGTAGGCAATACTAAGGTTAGGCGTCGAGGGCTAGGTAAGGAGGGGAAATCAATCGACGAGGCTGTGAAGTTATACCGATTGACAGAGATGGTGTTATTCATGCCTGCCTAGCTATCGATCGCCTTCCTCGACTGGCAATGTTAGCTGCTGACATAGGATGCATTAGGTTGCAAAAGAGCCAGTGGTGGTCAAATCAAATCATGGCTTTATCAGTCAGTGAAATTCACGACAATTAGTTTAAGCCAGTCAGTAGGAAGGTGTAGACTTCCTGGTTGGGGTCCTCGGGACAGTAAACACTAATGACTGGAGACAATTGGTGATATGGCTCAAAGCTATCGTTCGCAATGGCTGTCGCAGATGCATCCACTCCTTGTGACTTATAATTTCCAATAAAACTATATCGTTCTTCGTTATTACTATTCTTTTTGCCTCATATCTCTATTTACTGCCTCTATTTCGGATTCCTTTTACTTTCTTCTCTTGCTTTGTGTGCTACATGGAGTGTGGCGACTCGAACTGCTGCACACAGGCGCAAAGTTCTATGTTGAAACCAGTCAGTCATATCATATGACAAGAAAGTTCCAAGTCAATAAAAAATAATCAATAGAGAAGTAAATTAACAATCAATCACGACAATGGTTGTCAGTAGATACAATCATATCATCATTCATGGGGAATTTAAACAAATTCACCTTATATTAAAGCTGGCAATGAAGATGTTATCTGGACAATGAAAGCTTCACAATTAAATCAACCAGCTCAGAGAACACAAGAAAATCAAAAACACAAGTCGCTTAAACATCGCTAAAATACAAGGGATACACAAGAGCCAGCATGTGAAACAGGGTATATTTAAGGTATCAGTGATCTCTGTCTTACAAACGTTGAGGAGCAAGAAGATACGATCACATTTTCCCACCTATATCATACAACAATACAAACTATAAATTCGTTAAACTTACTTTCAATGTACGGTTTGAATTAATCCTGAGAAAAGCGCGCACATGATCCATTTGTTTTCTCTTTATTCGAATGCATTATGAGTAAAGAACTACTTACGATTAAAATATCCCTGCTAAAATACGATAAGTTCAGTTATGAAAAGATACATATAAATTCTTACATGCCACAACTCATGGTCTGAGTAGGCTTACTCGCCTGAATGACAATGGACTTCAAACAATTAACAAAATCACTGTTTTGATGTGAACAATAGAAATTACGGATCAGTTGACCGATAACAGAAGAGTCTTCAAGCATACCAGTGATTAGTGTGTTTAATTCAATCTAAAAAAAATCAAGTAAGTGCCATGAAATTACTTCAGTTGATGCTCTTTTGGAGTTCGGTAAAACGATGGACGACGAACTGAAGGTTAAAACAAAACTTGTAACTTACTCAGTCTTAGATAGAAGGCATAATGACTCCTTCAGGCTTCTTAAATTTTTTGCCAGTTTTGGAAGATAATCAATTATAGGGCCAAATGCGCCTTTAAGCAAATACGTTTGAGTAAGTAAACCACTGTAGTTATCAGCCATCTCTGAATACCTTTAAAAAGAGAGGAAAGTTACTCTATAGTAATTTTTTTTAAATTAGTAGCTGAACTTGATTGACCAATCCATAAGGTATGATTAGGGGGCGACATAAAATACACCTAATTAACACTGGTTATTCTGCAAGACATAAAATCAATAATCTCAAAGAAGTGCATGAATTATTTTTCCCATGTAGCTATTCTTAGCTAACCTTATGCTGAGAAAGTCATGGCCGAATTAATAAGTGAAGTGATAAGAACTGGTTGGACAGTCACTGTCTATAACATTAAATTCACTATCTGTTGTGCTCAAGTTATGTCCAAAGAAATTAATTCTGCTATCTGTAAAATTTACCAAAAACATCTTTAAAAGAAACTTCAATCCCATCCCAATTCACATGTGTGGACACGTGCATGAGACTTGAACTGAATTTCCAATGCAGGACTTTGCGCGAAAGTGAAGCAATTAAACTTCAACATACAAATACAAGAAATTAAGAAAATATAATAAACGGAAATGTGCAAAAGAAAGAATAATGAGGATTTAACAGTTCCAGTAGATCACAAAAAGTTAACGTATTTCCACCAATGAGAACGATTTATTGACATATCATGTAGATAAGTTGGAGTAATTGTTTCTTGCACCTGAGGTGGGTGGAAACATATATCCAAATGACTTGAAAAACAACTTATCATAATAACCACAGGTGGCAGACTATCAAAACAAAATATTCATATGAATCATAAGGTTGGCGACGAGACAGCTTTCAAGATTACATGAAAAGCTGAGGGGTGCATACTAGAATGTGGTGATGTGACAATCGCTCATAAAATTAAACTCTCTACTTTTGTTTAAAAAAACAATTTTTCGTTAAATTTAAGATACCTTGGTAGTGCTTAACTGATTATATTGCTATTCCTTCACTTATCTGGGAAGCATCGTTTCAGCTACAGGCAATCGGAACGGATGTAGATGTCAAAGTCAGCCAGCCGGAATCGGAAAGGCAAGATAAGCCTTCACCAACTTAAAACTAGTTTGCAAACCTTTTGTACTCCATGGCATAAAGAACAAGAATCGCATTTTCAACGCCAATGTGAAGTCGGTTCTTCTGTACGGGTCAGAAACTCGGCCAGCGTGTGACGGAAAGGATTTCCCACAGGTTGAAGACTTTCATCAACAGCTCACACCTTCGCTGGCTGGCTTCATACTGAAGATCAAATGGCCAGAAAGAATAAGCAACAAGAAACTATGGGAACAAACCAACTAAGTGCCGACAGCTCAACAAATATTTAGGAGAAAGTGGAGGTGGATCGGGCATACATTGGGGAGGCCACTGAATGACATTGCATCGAGTGGAATCCAAATGGGAAGTGACGAGTGGGTCGTCCTACGGTGACATGGAGGAGATCCTGTGAGGAAGAGATGAGAGAGTTTGATCAATCGTGGACCCAGCTGAAGAGGACGGTAGAAAACAGGACAAAGGGAGATGTGTTGTTGAAGCCCTATGTTCCACTCGGGACGCAAGAGAATAATAATAATATTATAATATTGTCAATTATTACTATCCTAACTCTTAAATCCCTAATGATTCTGTTTAACCTTATTTAACCTCCCTTTTTTTCATTTCCGCATACACTAAATTCACAAATAAGTCAGTGACGTGTTTGAAATGTATTATGCAAATACAACACATTCTATAGATTGACTCCATTGTTTAACAATTATCCAAGTAGACTCCTACAGTACCGAGAGTAGTTAAACGCATTACCACCATGTAAGCTGACCCCCCCCCCCCAAATTACTGGATATAGTCTGTCTAACTTATGATAAGAACAAACAGTTGATTAAGAGGTGACTGTTAAGCAACTCACTAGCTCTTATTAGGGAAGAATATACAACTATCTGTCAATATAGAAAATATCCCCATTTAGACATTTGGGAAACAGAAAGATTGAGCGAAGAAATATTTACTTTTCAATTAGATCCTCTTCTCTGGCTCTACTCTAATATACATCCATAGCATTTTTACAATACACAACAATTTACCAAACTATCTGTCAAACATTTAAAAAAATACTCTGCTTCATCTGAAAATAATACAAATCACAAATTAAGAGTCAACATGAACCAGTGATAATAGCAGTTTAGGTGTAGTCCCTTGCATTTCCATGCAAAGAATCAATCATCCATACCTATTGCGAGGAGCCTAATGATATAACCCAGTGAGCCACAGCTCCACAATCGAAATTACAAAATAAAATAAATCAGATTTACGGGAAAAGTAGTACAAGGAAAAAAATATGTTTTGGGTGAGCTTAACTGTGGAAACACCCATAAACAAAATGAACACGAAAGCAAAGTTAAAAGTACAACTACATGAATATGAGTAGGAATTCCTACATTAAGGAAGACTAGAAAGAATACTTCTACGTCAATAAATACCATTTTGAGTGACGTCATTGGAGGCCTCCAACTACTGACATCTAACATCTTAGGGAACCCAAGCGAACCATCTACACCTCTAAGCATAGACCAAATTAACAGTCAGAACTTTAATGGAAGAGTGCAGTGTTTCTGACTGACAACACTTAACCCTTCTACAACCCCATTCCAAGTAACTTTGCTTTACATGTGCAGCACCTATCATAGTCATCTCAACAGATGAAGATTCATAAGCTCATCGATTACCTTTTTATTCATAGCTAACACTAGCGTTGACTGCACAACAGGACACATTTCCACATCCGATACAGAGAACTGAACGGACGTGAATTCGCTCAGTATCCAACCACCACTTCACTATAAAGTGTGGCGGAACTAACTGCTTTATTGTACACACGGTTTTTGCTGGGCAACCAGATAACATGTCAGCGGCAAAGATGATACAGATTCTGAACAGTATCCTCTATTATTAATTCAATTTTCTTTCAATGATTGCATTAAAACCAACGTAAACTCTGATTGACCACACCAAATTCATATGTGATCTCGTTTATTATACCACTGTTTCAACTTATACCAGAAGGAGCATAACAGAAATCCCAAAATATGCCATATAGATTGAGTAAGCAAATAAAAACTAAGAGAATAAATAAGTAAATTATGGATCAAAAACAATAAAATAACAGACTATTTTTAAAGAAATATATAAATCTACATAACAAGCAAATCTTTGTTTAGTCAGAAATACATCCCTCAAAACTAAAGTTCAAAATTTAGTAAAGAAATCACATCGTTACAAATGTAGGTAAGCCTGAAATATATGTGACGAGAAGTTGAAAACATCCACAGCTAGAGCATTTATATATATATATATATATATATATATATATATATATAGCACCTTAAATGAGAGTTGGCATATCTGAAACGAATCAATTAAACAAACCTGGTCGAAATTCCCTACTATTTCCTCGAAATACTTCCTGCTTTTTAAGTTCACGTTCGAAAATTCGAAGCATAGCAATGATTTCACCGGTCATCAGTTGTGCCGTCATTGTTAGTGGCCAACTTGTAGTCCAGACGCTTAATTAATGTCGCATACGATTCACATAGTGTTTCAACACAAACCGTTAAACAATTACGGGATAAACATAAAATGCACCTGTTAGCTTCTTAAGAGCGTCGGTCAATTCCTGGAGACCCTTATTATCCTTAGGTGACCTGAGAAAGAACGGCTATAAGTTAGGTATTACTTACATAACAGGTGTACTTGTAGTAGCAACCATCTGTAAAGTACTTTTCGACATGAATCCAAAACTACTTCATTATAATGTAAGGTTGAATATCTGTCAAACTTGGTATTCCTTTTCGAAACAGGTGCACTACTGTCAAAGTTTGCGTAATCTGGGTCCTCGAAGGCATTGCACTGCTTATCCATCAGGTCAGATGGGTAGTCGTCACTCACAAAAAGGTCATTTTTCGGTGCACTAATTATTGAGTCAAGTATCAAACGATGCATCGTTAGCATATGCTTACGTTATTTGACGCTTTTGTGAGCAAACTACGGTGGGTTTCGATGACTGACTGCAATTGGTAACGCTGTAGGTTCTTTGTAATGTCTTGTGCTTTGCAAGTGCTTCTTGCAAGTCATCTGGAGAAATAGTTGAGTAGCAATACGGCTAACCTGCTTCACAAATAACCTCACACTGCTTCATCTTCTAGTCAACCTTCAGGTATTCCTCCTCACATAAAGTATCCCAATTTTCTTGGCTGCAAACGACAAGCTTAGGTCGAAGAAACCAGGAGCTGTGGCAAATCACCGCCTCAATATGGATTAGTGACATGTCTCTTTTTCAAACATAACTGAAGCACAAGGCTATATTAATAGGACTATAGTACTTCTAAGGCGTCTAGGGGGATTCGCATCACTCACACTTGGTGCTACTTCACTTTCATTATCCATTTTATTAGCTTAAAATAGACATTACACTATCAACACTTAACTTACCAGGTTAGGAGTGCAGCACCCTGTCGGCGGCCGTAATTTTGAGTGCCCGCGAGTGAAATAAATAAGTGATTTCCCCGCTTGTGATTGGTCTGTTTGATATCACCTAACAAGTATCAGTAGCGGTATTTGTAAACATTATTTGCTGTTTTGTTCTATTGCTACTTTTTAAGGTGATTTCAACTTTTATTTTGAATTACTGGTAATGCATATAATCATGGTAGAGGGGATTAATGAAGTATCAGTTGATTTGTGCACAGAATTCAATGAATTAGTTCGCTACCAAAGTCTAGAGATGTAGACATTGTTACCGATGTAAATGTAATAATTAACTACTTAACACGTTTAAAATGGCGAAATAATTAGTTAAATTGTATATAACTACGTCAGTCAACATTTTTCAAGAATACTAATTCGATATTGCATCTGCCTGTAAACACCAAGTCTATGCCATAAAATGAGGAAATACTATACGTATATAATTTCTAAGTATTTCTATAGATTTTCGTTGACGAAATACATGTGAAGGAGCTTTGACAGCATTAGCACATGTACACAACTAAGTAAATGAAATAATTAACAAAACCAACTATCTCACCTCATCATGTCCATGTATAATCCTTTAAACTGCAAAAAAATTTACTAAAGTCGTTATAATATGTCTCTTCAAGTAATTCGACATTTCTTGAACGTAAAAGTACGTAATTCAACAATTTGTAAACTGGCCGTAAATTACGGCCGGATAAGGACACCATCATTTGCTGTTTATGCTAAGAACGCCTTACTCTATGAATTTTAGCAGCAATACAAATGTAAAAGTGTGTAAAACAACGAAAAATCACCTAATTTTGAAGTTTTTTCAGTAAATAAAGTCGGTAGACATCAGCTGATCAAATGACCTACGACCGTATACAGGCTCCTGAAATGAAATAGTCAGAATTTGTCTTCATACAACTTCCCAGTGATTAAATACACATTGTATAATATTCGGGCTGAAATGTGTCTCACCTCATGCATTTCAGATGTGTGTTTGCGCTACATAAACGAAATCCCACCATTCTTCCCACTTCTCCCGTGTTACCCATATTTTCCTGCATTACCCACGTCTCCAGAAAATAGTTGTCCACGTTTTCCCACTTTGCCCATGACATTTTAGAAAAAAGCCCACTTATTCCCACTCTACCCATGTTACAAACAAAAACAGTCCCCCTTTTCCCACTTTACCCAAATTTGTGCGGAAAATTAGCCGACGTTTTTACCCACATATCCCAGGTCCAAAAAAATTTCCTGAATACAAGAGTTGACAAACTGAGAAAGCAAACACTACTTTATACCAGACTGCCTTAACTTCCTAAAGTAGAACATTAGGCAAAACATCTTTCTAGTAACCAGCACGATGTGAGAGGACCAGGAAAGATCGGAGGAAATCCTCAGTCCAAGGTACTTGACATTAGATATAATTTCAACCTCTGTGCCATCCATGGTAGTGAGGCCATATGAGCTAGCTAGTTGTCGTAGGTCACGTTTTCGTCTGAAAGTGAAATTGACTACCTGACATTTAGACGGATTCAGCTTAAGACCATTTGAAGAGGACCACTGACTTATTTTCGACAGAAAGTTATTTAATTTGGAACAATCTGACTGAGAGTTGATAGGCATGGAAACAGAGAGGTCGTCAGCATACTTGAAAAAAGTGGTTACATCAGAATGGGGCAAGTTATGTAAGAAAAAAGAAAACAGAAAAGGAGAAAGAACAGCACCTTGAGGAACACCAGCTAAAGTAAGTGAGGTAGTGGAGGACTTTCCATTGTAGACAGTGTACTACTTCCTATCAGAAAAGTAGGAAGACAACCACTTATTTGTCCAGCTCTTAGCCTGTGTTGCAGCAAGCTTACTTAGCAAGAGACGTAGGTACAGAGTCAAATGCAGATGTGTAATCAAGGAAGGCACACCGAACGTATTTAGCTCCTCTATTTAAACTACAGACTATATTATGATATAGAACAACAGCAGCACCTAAGGTACACCTACTATGTTTATAAGCAAACTGGTTAGGGTCACTGAAAGGCTTTAAAGAGGGTTCAAGATTAAGTAAAATAGGTCTTTCCATAACTTTCGAAAAAGGTGAGGTAATAGCAATGGGTTTAAACTTAACAGTAGGTCCACTTGTTGATTTAGGCACTGGAACAACCTTGATATTTTTCAATGAGTCAGGTATGATACTTTTGGAAAAGGATCCGTTGAAAATGTCGGTTAATAGGGAATATAAGATGTCAGAACACTTCTTAAGGATAACAGCAGGAACTTCATCAGGACCAAGGGACTGAGTAGGTTTGAGAGATTGAAAACACTTAAGGACATCATTCGTATTAAAGCATGAGAAGCAGTCATTATTTACACTATTGGAATTAGGAATCATAACATCTTCAGGGATACATATGAAGGTTTTACTAAGCATATCAACATCTACAGAAGTATCATTCATTATTTGCTTACCACCTGTGATTTCCTTTAATAACTTCCACATATTAGATGAGGATTTACATGAAAGAAACTTCTGGTTATAGAGAGCATTTAGTCTTTATAATTCAACTTTAATCAAAGTGTTCATTCTCTTAACACCAGAATTATTTTTCACGGAAAAGCTTTTTGAGTTGAGAAGAGGCGAAACGGTCGAATTTTAAGAAGATTGTCTCTTTTGGACAACAAACATCAAGACAGAAATTAAGATAATGTGTTATGTTAGTAATTGTGTTATCAAGAGCCTGTTCAGTAAACAGGTCCCAGTTTGTGTCTTTTAACACAGTCCTTAGATTCTGTTTGTCGTCATGAAAATAACATGTGTGTTGTGTTTTCTTTCCAAGGTATGAGAAGACCCTTTTGTGCTGCTTTCCATATACTTAAGGCAATATTCTTATGATGCAGTGATCAGAATTAAGTAGTGGGGCTCTTTTCCGAGCTTCAAATATTCCCGTGTCATTTGTAAACACAAGATCAAGAGTATTACCCAGTCGAGTCGGGAAGTTGACAATGTTATCATGTCCAAGTGAAATAAGGAAGCTATGATCACTAGAGTTGAAATCTCCAGTAACTATAGACAAGGAGTTTCTGAAGGAGGTGGCAGCAAGGGAGGTAAATTCATCCGCAAATAAAGACGATTCTGTGGAATTGCATCCAGGAGCAATATAAATATTCGAGATGTATATGTAGTCATATTTTGACAAATGTTTAGGTCGACATTTAACCGTGGGGCAATCAATATTGTCACTAGTGAATTTGAAACATACTTTATTAGATGTACACTATTGTGAATTGATGAAGATGGCGACACCGCCACCACGTTTCTTCCTAAAACTACACCGATCTTGTCTGAATAATTTGAAATCATTCAGATGTACGAGATTGTCATCATATAGATCATGTAGCCATGTTTCTTGAAGTGATATGATCCCAGAATTACGATATATAATGGTAGACACGAGTGATTGCAGACAGTTAATTTTAGCTGGCAGCGAGCGACAATTGGTACCCATAATCGCAGGGACAGTCATAAATTGAATAGGGGTTTTTTAAAGCTTTTTGCCACCGGGCATGATGCTTTTTTTATGGCAATTCCGATCAGTAGGCTTTAAGGATATTAAATACTCATGAGAATAAATGATCCGATTAGGGGTCATATTTGAACGATTTAATTATTTAAAATGAATCGGAAATGAGCCATTAGATGCAATATGATTTATAATGTATAAGTTAGCCCAAGATTTAAGCAGGCTGCATTATTTATTATGAGTCTAAAGTCGTCCATTTATTCTGATTGACCAGCATCCTAAACCATTTTAACCTAGCTTCTGCAACGTTTTTCCCTAACCACCAGCCAATTTGACAAGCGAGGCGGTCACCATCTTCATTTGCTGGAGGCAACAACCCCTGTCGTAAATTTAAGGCTTGCTAGCTGACTGAAGATCATAGCAGTACTATCAGGCGTTTTTATCCATATTATACTGACGTTTATCTGCAGACTTCTTAGAGTACTTAAAGTGGCCAACTATGAATTAAGCGATTAACCGGCTGTATAATTAACCCTGATAAATTTTTGGTTGAAGAAATTAAACTTCAACCTATCCGTCCGTATTTCATTGAATTCGCTCCGAAGTTGAAGTAGTTCTCTCATACGGAAATGACATTCTGGGACCTGGGGAGTTGTGTTCAGGCAACAGTAATATTCCCTGATTTCTTTGTCAACGGCTGTCATGATTGGTAAACATTGATGGAATGTTTAATGACCTAGCATTTTCGAAGTAGTTTCAGCTTCACCGGATGTGGTAATCTATGTAGCGGCTTCAACTACTGCTGAGGGGCAGGGGGATCGATGTGTATTACATTGAGGTTTATTTGTAGACCTTGTTGTATTGTATTTACATTAATCAACTGTGAATTTCACGATTACTTCGCTGTTCAATTAACTTTGTTTTATTGGCTTGTTGTTGTTTGGGTGATAGATATTCGACGTTGTGGTCTGTTATTTATTATTAATCACAATGAAGCTCATTTGGTTAATTAGCACCCAAGTAGTGTCCTGAGTTCTGCGGTATTATCTTGTGATAATACCACTATATACCGATAGCGCTACTGACAGTTTCGGAACTGACCATTTCATAGTTTCCGGTCCACAAAAATTAACAACAGCCTATTTCGGTAGCTGAAGGCTCTCAAAGGCATCTTTTCAATCACATAATGTTTTGGCTACAGCAACGTATAGGGGGAATGCCACTGTGAAGCCCTTCAGATTCAAATGATTTGCCTGACTCTACTTCTTACAGACTGAACACGACAGCACTGTCTACCCTTATATGGTGACACATTTATGGAGGTGGAAGTAAATTTACTAACTCACTGGATATTACTGTCAAAAACATTATTTGTGCAAATTTTCGGGGTTATCATGATTTGATTTTGATATATACCTCCTATATGTGTGTCGGTGGCACAGTGGTTAGGACTCTCGCCGACCATGCACATGGTCCGGGGTTCGATCCCCTGCCGGCGCACACCCGAT